GTACCTTAATGTAGGGTAAAGAAGTGCAGCTTCAACAGCATATCTCAGCTTTTCTACATGATGAATGTGTAAAATTGCTGAAAAAAGTTCTTGCAGGTCACTGCACAAACTATCCCATTTTTTTTAATTTACCTACAAATACTTAGCAATATATTCAATAGAATAGGGGGGGGGGGGGGGGGGGGGTATAATTAATACATTGCATTTTAAGGGACTTTTTTTTTGTTGTTGTTTATTTTTGTTGTTTTCTTTTCCCACAGCTGTTGAACTGTTGTGAAAGAAGAAAATCAAATCTCACTTGGATCTGTCTTTATAAGATCAAATGGTCCTATACCTATGCCAATGCATGCTGGTGTTAATTTTTTATATCCTTATAAGGAGGAAAGGAAGATCAGTCCTTACAACATTTTATATGTGATATAAAAGGTCAGTTGAATAGTGCAACATCCATGATGCACATCAGTATGATGTACAATAAATATGCAAATAAAAGCAAAGTGAAGCCACTTCATAATACAGCATATTTACAATACAAGATGGGAAAATTTGTTTTTATACTAAATTAGCCAGATGTTATTTACCATTTACCATTTTTGAAATTACTTGCAGTATCATTATTGCTCTTTTTGGAATACTTGATACGTTACCTACTTTTTAGTGTATATACTGGTAAGTATTGCAGGTAATATAATTACATCAGAAAATACATAAAATTCCAGTTAATCTTGGGAATTACACCCTTAGTCGCGAGAATATTATAAAGTGCTACTAGCCCTGATAGCAGCGTGGTACCCACCTGCTTTATAGTAAAAACACTTTCAGGTTCAAGGTTCAAGGTTCTTTATTGTCACATGCATATTATACAAGTATAACACACAGTGAAATGTAGCCTGACACGCTCCTCGACATGTGCAAAAAAATTGGGGGGGGGTGTAGAGGAAGAACAATATATAAAATATATATATATATATATATATATATATATACATTGGGTGAATGTGCAGTAGTAGCAGCAAGCAGGTGAATTCTGTGCATTAATATGAATAGACATCTGACTATTTTACAGGATAGACAATATAAACATATTAAAATTAAAGGAATTGAAATGTCTTTCATGTCTAGTGTAACTGTGATGCACTCTGTAAACTGCTGAGTATGCAGGTTAAAGGTTGGGAATAGGTAATGTGAAGACAGACAGTAAACAGTTTAAACTGAACCCTGCACCCTTACATCACTTAGCACACACTAAGATACTGTTTGCTTTGCGCGTTTGCTACACTTAAACTGTTACCAGTGTAGTCTGATATTTGCTATGCTGTTTGCATTTAAACTGTGCTTTTGCTTTTTTGATCATTGCGGCAGTTATTAGAAAGATGATTTAAAGTAACTTAAATTAACTGACCATCTTAAGTATTGTAAGTAAGTATTTGTCTCCGACCAGGCCATCCCTTTATGACCACAGTGCACCCATCTCTGATGGCTGCTTCCAACAGGACAAATCATCATGCCACTAAGCTCAAATCATTTCAAACTGCAGCTTCAAGTCATGGATGTGCAGCAGGTCTGTGATGCTATCATGTCAATCCAGACCCAATCTGATGAACGTTTTCAGCACCTTTTGAATCTGTGAGAATTAAGGTAGTACTAAAAGCAAGAGAGAGGCCAACCTGGTAATAACTACGTGTACTTAATTAATGGCAAGTGAAAGTTTTCCAATCCTGTTCGCTTTTATTTTGAAAATCCCCACCGGAACAGCACCACTGTACCGAGGTATTTGACTTGACAGATGGCAGGCGGGAGACGCTCCTCTCTCGGCTGTCTCTCTCGGTCCGTTGGTCCATCTCGGTTCTCATTGTCTCCCTGTTCACTCCTTGAAGACAACCCCGAGACGACCAACTAAACTTAGCCGTTTTTTTCCCGCTCACACCACACACTATGCTTTACGTTTGGAGACTTACCTCGACCTGAAAATTTACCCTTCCCTCTGTGTATGAAATTTGGACATGCTCTTCTGTTTTCTTGTTTTTGTTTTTAAAAAAAAACATTGTATAAACGCGTTGGCAGTAACGGAGACAGCACCGACTGAAACAACCACCGGCTGACGGCTTGACAAGACAGCAGTTGTGCCATGGATCTGATGGGGAGATGAACCGAAGGAGGAGGAGGACTCATTAGCCAAAAAGCGCCCCCCGAAATCAGCTTCCAGCGGCTGTTGACACCTCACAACATTTTTATCAATGACCGTTTTCTCACTGGATAAAACACCACAGCTATCGGAAGATATAAGACAGGTTTGGGACCTACGTGTTGGAGATTTGAAATAAATATAAATAAATAAAACGCGGTTTTGGTGAAGGATGTTGCCGCTACATGTCCGTTACTTCCCCTGAGAGGAGAGGAGCTCGCCTGTGTGAAAAGAGACAGGGACCACTTTCGCTTGTTTTCTCCACCCTACAACAAATTAGGCTGTTTCACTCACACGAATGCAAGTGGCTCTTAATCGGATTACTAAACGAGGATTTAATCTGGAGGGAATACATCCATCTAATCTCACCGTCTCTCTTCCCCCCAGCCCTTCAGTGTCTTTAAGTGGCTGCTGCTGGTGTGCTGGACTGTGTCACTTCCAGTGTGCTCAGCGTTGTGATGATGATGGTGATGATGATGCGACTAATCGAGGTGATCGCAGGTGATGTCTGGACAAGTGCAAACTGTGTAGAAATCACTGGAAAGTCGCTGTAACCTCTGCTGGATGAATGAATGAAGGAGCTGGATCTGACTTCGTTTGTGTCACATGTATTGAAATGCAGCTGATTTAGCAGGCTACTAAAGTGCCCTCAGTTGCTGAGGCTTGGAGAGGGTTTATCTACATATCCAGCTCTGTGGACTTGAATCATCCCCCTCCCCAAAGGACGTACTGTTACGGGCTTAAGTAGTTGCCTTTCATTCCCTTCAGCTCCAGAGAGTACAAGGGGGAGCTGGTACCCTGTCCTCTGAGCCCGAGAAGGGAGTGCTTCTACCTGGGCTGGAGGCCAGCCAGACGGCCCTTTGGGAGCTTTTGGATTTTGAAGGAGAGATCTTGGGGAGTTTCTGCTCCACGTGGACCTCCAGAGAGAGCCAGGAGGACATCATGGGGTGCTGCAGTGGCAGGTGCACCTTGGCCTTCATCTGTGGCATGCAGCTGGTGAGTGTTTACGTTACTATTGATCCTGTAAGGGGAGGAAAGTCTGGGTTAAATCTTTGAAAAGCTCCACAAACAGACAGGTTCTGATGGGAAAGAAGAAAAAAAGGCATCTTTATCTGGAGGTGGAGCAGGAGGAGAGGTGGGTGGCTGGAGAGAGGGAGAGATGGATTACTCAAAGGTCACATTTCAGAAGTTAATAAAAGGTCATGATACAAGGAATGATGTTGAATGACGAATATGAGGACTGAATAGATGAATACTGTTGCCTGGAGCTCTGGGGCTGTACTAAGAGTCCATATAGAGGGATTGATGGAGGTGGAGAGTGATAGATTGAGGCACTGTAGAGAAACGAGGTATGGGTGGATGGCAGATGGATAGATATATGAAGCAGGTACATGTAAAGCAAAGAAGGTAAAGACCCATTATAAGGTTGCAGCATCAGACGCTGCCATTCTGTGTCTGTCTGTCTCCCGGTGTATCTCTCTTTTACACCATCTGTGTCAGTGGAAACTGGTGCCAGGCAAGACAACTGGGAGGAGGGATGGTCTGTAGGTGTGTATGTGTGCATACATGTGAGGAAGTGTGAGGAGCAGCACAAACAGTTTTATTAGTTCTGTCTTGTAGCTTCTGCATAATATGAGGAAATTTTTTCCCAGGAGCAGAACGATGTAATGAAGCAGCAAGAGCTGCCAAATGGTTTAATGTGGGTGACCTGCTGGTAGATCATGACATTTCTTATTAAAGAGGCAAAGTGGATAACATTTTTTTAGGTAGCATGTGAATAAACATTGTTGGAATTCAGTTAACGTTTTTTGTTTTGTTTTGTAAATTAAATTTGATTAGATTTTCAGGCTTTTTTAGCCTTGTTTTGGTTAGTTTGTGACAAGCTTGTTGCCACCTTGGTTTCTGTATACCACTATATAAAGTCACTACACATAAATCTCCTGTAAACTACCTGTGGAAACCCAGCTTTTGCATTTTGTTTTGTCTTTTATCATTTCGTAGTTTTATATCTGTGTGTGTGTGTGTGTGTGTGTGTACAAGAATACAGTCTATTTGCCCAACCTTAGTTAAGAGGATACTATAGGAAATTTAAATATAGGCTGTTGTTTCTTCGGTAAGGCCGTTCCACTGTTTGCATCGCATCTCTTTCAATAAAGTTGAGCGATATGTAAACATTTTTCCACTTGGTGTTATTGCAAGCATCTCTTGTACCTACGGCATCTGTGTTACTCTTGGCAGCTTAAAGGTATTTATTGTGAATTTCCAAGCGAAACAGTTAAATCCTACTTCTGGTTCCTCCCTTTATTCACAAAGGGTCGCCACAACAGGTAGCTGTGCAGCTTTGATTTGGCAGATTTTTACATTGGATGCCCTTCCAGACCACCGAGGGCTGGTGTCAGGAAGGGCATTAAGAACGTGAACAAACTTTATGTTGTAAGTGACTGAGTGCTGTGTTGTGGTGAAGAGATAATCAGGAATTTCTAGTAGGACCTGGCTGTACGTTCCAATACCAATTTGTACTAGGGTTGACTCGATAATAGAATTTCAATATCAATACCGATGCCCAAGACAATACTTGATACTTGATGCCACTTTTGAAACCAAAGGCAATGTTTTGACCCAGTGGTGCAACTGTAGAAGTGAAGACTCGATCAAAATCTTGAAAAAGTTAACTTGTTAATTTTCAACTAATTTCCCCAATTATAAATTTGATTTAACAACATAAGTATTTAGGATTAATTTTAGAGATTTTACTTATTTTATAAATTATTTAGACAATTTCACTACAGACCATGAAGTTAAAATGTATTTTATATATGTATTACTCATAATAAACCTAGGGTACAACCAACAGCATAATACCTACCATATGTAAGTAACTTAATTGTTGTAGAAGAAGAGCATTAAAGAAAATTTAAAGATAAACTTTGGATGAAGTGTGGTATTCGTTCTGCTGCAAGAAATATTCATCTTTTATCTGGCTACAGTCCACAAGCTGCTGCATTAATGGTTTCAGATGCATAATGTGGCCATTGGGCAATTGCTAACAGTTAAACAGGTAGCACCAACATGTGTACTGGCTAGGTTAACATTCACAATACTTGTTTAATAATTCAGTGCTGTAAAACGGGAGCTTTACTGACCTCTGAAATTCCTCCTAAAATGTTGTTCACTCTTATGAACGTTAACTACTTGAAGGGGCTGCATGGATGACTGTGCGTGAAGATCGGCTGGAGGAGGCAAAGACGGCACTGTTTGTATAGAAACAGTTCCAAAAAGGACAGCAGGACACATCTAAAACATTTAAACACTTGCTTGTTAAAATGCTGCTGCTTGGTGGTGAAAGTTCAGTTTTGGAGATTGTAATTAAAAAATGTTCCTTTAAGAATAAGACAAAAAGAAACGCTGTTTCTAATGGCTCCCTTTTAAGTCCTCAAACAGACTTTTTAAGCTGAGAGCATGCCTTTAATTGATCCCCAGTTGTGGGAAAGTAGATGCCTTTACTTTTCTTTCTAATACTGTTATATTTAAGCTGCTCATTCTAGCTACATTTTATACTAAAGGATTATTATTGCTACTGTACATAGTAGCTATAAGACTAACAGCCACAGCAGAGCAATAATTCCAGGCAAAGATTCTCCAGACGCTAACCCGGGGAAATAAAGGAAATCATTCCCTTTAGGTAAAGCGGTACCACTCATCACAGAATAAATCCTGCATTTTCTAAAGATTTATGAAATGTTGCTGTTAGAGGATCTCGCTGTGGAGCTTTTGTCTGCCGCGTGTATGGTAGCCAAAGACAGGCTATGATATAGAATGGGACAGTGAACACGCATGTGAACAGAAATGCATAAACATGAGGTGAAACGCTTTGGCTGTTGCAGCCTTTGCAGTCATGTACAGTGACTGTGTGCAAAAGTAAAAAGCTATTGTGATGATGAATAGGAAGCTGTTAGCGGCAGCACGAAGCACTCTGTTTTCAATACAAAAGGAAAATATAGAGAAAAAAAACCTATCCAATTTACCATAAAGATATTATGTGCATGACCCTCTTTGAGCGAGCGTGTGCTTGTAGGCCTATTGTGCTGTGAAATAGGACGTTGCTCTGCTCGTTTCCATTCAAATAAAGACAGTTCTGTAAGTGAACACGCCCGCAGCAGAATGCCGATGAGTTTACCAAATGCGGTGCACACACTGTACGCGAAGAAACACACCACTGTGCTGTAAATGGGGATGCTGTGTATTTCCCTGTGTGAAATAAAGGCCACGAGTGACTCTGTGTGTGTGTGAGAGAGAGAGAGAGAGAGAGAGTGCTTGTGAATGAGATGCTGTCACAGAGATAGTCATTGTATCTAATGCGGTGGAACTAATGCTATGCCATAGTCAACAACATGTTTTGCTCTGTTAACCGTTGTAATAGCTAAGCCAGCTGATGAGCTGGAGGTCTAACACTACTGTATGTTTCAGCTTGGCCATGCACGGTTAGCATCTGCAGCTATTGGAGCAGAGGGCTTGTGAAGCATCACAAAAAGTGCTCATTTCCACTCTTCAAAGACATACATGTGAAGATATTTCATTCCTGCGGTTCCCTCACCAGAAGGCACGCTGCTCTCAGTCCTCTCTGCTGTGAGTTAACCACATTGACCACAGATTAAAGACAGCCTCTTACCCTGCCTCAGACGCCCCCCTGTTAGAAGTAATTGTTTTTGCTAAGTGAGCCTCCGCCTAATTGGGGAGCTTGTAGAGTAGGAAGCAGCACTGGTCCAACCCAGTATCACGGCAAAACATGTAATAGACACAGCGCTCCACCATGTCTTTTTCACGCTTTGCCTCTCCAAAGTGTAAAAAAAAAACAGTGGACCGGCATGTCTGTTGCAAGTTTTGGTGCAATATCGGGTTGACTGGTCAGTGTGTCTTATGCAGGGGAACTGATGTCTTATGTAACTCCTAGCAGCAGTTTTTCCCCCTGCTTCATTAGCTAGGTTAATTGCTAAAAGCTGATGTCGCCACACCTGAGCAGAGATCAATGATCCAGGTTGGAGATATGTCTACTTCACAGCTGACGTCAAAGCGTGCAGAGTTTAATTGATTCTATCAGCCAAATGTATATATTTGCCTGATTGTTTTCATTGGTCTTGCTTTTATTAGTAATGTGTAATTTAATGTCAGCAGTTAGTTCAAAGAAAAAAGTGTGCTGCTTTTCTGATAGCGCTCGGTGCCAGTCTAAATCTTTTTCTTTCTTTTCCTCACAGCCACACTTAGTAAGTAAAGCTAAAGGGACTATTGACTTTGGGGGATTGAATAAATGGTTATATTCTCAGTGAATCAAGCAACCTCTAAAGAAAAAAAACGTAAAATGTAATTACGTCCAAGGTGATGGCTTCATATCCCTTGATTTGGCTGCCCCCCCCCCACCATCCGTACACCACCATCACCAAGCTGAACTGTCAGTAGAAGACAGGGAGAATCGATGCTGTTGTGTTGTTTACACCAAATTCTGACCCCACCATCTGAGTATTATAGAAGAAACAAAGATTCATCAAACCAGGCAGCATTTTTCCAGTCTTTTAATGTCCAATTCAAATATGGTGTAGCCTCGATTTCCTGTTCTTAGCTGTCAGGAGTGGCCGCAGGTGTGGTCTTCTGCTTCTGTGGCCAGCTATTTCAAGATTCAATGTATTGTGCACATTTAGAGATGCTCTTCAGCATACCTTGGTTGTAACAAGTAGTTATTTCAATTACTGTACCCTTACTGTCAGAGCGAAACAGTCTGGCCATTCTCTTCTGAAGGCAAGTCATTTTTTTCCTCCCAGTCAACTGACACTCGTTGGATATTTCCTCTTTTTTGGACAATTTTCTGTAAACCCTAGAGACGGTTATATGAGAAAATCCCAGCAGAGCGGCGGTTTCTGAAATAGAGTAGCCCGTCTGGCACCAACAAATCACTTCAATCACCTTTCTTCCCTATTCGAGTTGAACTTCAGCAGGTCCTCTTC